TTTCTACCTCTCCATCAAAGCAGATGATTTTGTCTCCTGTTTAGGAGACAATGATTAAAAACATTGATTTAGGAGACAAAGATTGAAAGCCATTCAAAGGGAACTTCCTCATTTTTGCAATTGCAAATATACAAACCTACTTATATATTTATATAGTAATCCTATTCTCTTTTCTTCCTATCACAGTAATAATTATAAAACCCTTACTTTATGCCAGTACTTAGTGCTTTACAAAGATCATCTCACTGAAGCATAACAAAAACCCCTTCAGGTATATTTGTTTTATAGATAAGAAAACTGAGAAGCAGAGAGGTTATATAATTTCTTCTTGAACTCACTGCTAGACAGTGGCCAAGCCAGGATTTACACATGGTCTGATTTCTGAGCCTATACTTTTATTAATGATAATAATAATGGAAAATAAGTCAATAAGGTGCTAAGTAAGCCAAGGTTCTCTTCTCTGCCCTGTATATAGAATTTGACAGCAGCTCTGTGAAGAACTGCTACCATTATTATTACCATTTTATAGTTGAAGGAAACTAAGCACACAGAGGTTAAGTTCTTCAAAGTCCTACAGCAAATAGGTGGAGGGGCTGGGATTTGAACACAGGCAGTCTGGCTCCAGAATCTTATGTCCTGGCTCACTGTGTTCTACCACTTTGATTTAATTACAACTATATTTTGCCTCTTATTGGAGGCTGAACTCTCCATCCTTCTTTTGTCTCAGGAACTTTTTACTGTTATATCTTTTCTCAGTGTATTATTGACTTCTCTTTGAACTGCATCTTTCCTTTTTCTCTGAAAAATTCTTAAGTGTCACCCATTTAAAAACTTGGCTTATGAGGCTCTGTATGATCTAGTGTTGCCTCAGGCTCAACACTCATCTCCTCCTTTTTCTTTCTCTTACCTTTAAGGCCTTTGTGTATGCTTGGCTACCAAACTACTCATTCTTCTGGTCTCAACTCAGTTGTCTTTTCCTCGCTTAGTTCCCCCTCTTTTAGATTCTTTCATTACAGAGTTGCTTTTTTCCTGTAATACTTGTCACATTTGCAGTTTTATGTTTGTTAATGCGATTATTTGATGAATTTATATTTTTCCCAATAGACTAAGCTTAGTGAGTCAGGGACAGTAGTTTTGTTCATGATTATACCCCCCCGAGTCTAGTCTTCAGTAATAACCAGAAAACTGCAAGGGAAAGCATTTATCACCTAACCAAATTAATAAAAAATAAAAAATGAAGTCATTTAGTGTAGGTGAGATAGTGATAAAACAGATAAATAAACTTTTAGTGTCTTCACATAGCAGGTAGTATTCGGCCAGGCGTGGTGGCTCATGCCTGTAATCCCAGCACTTTAGGAGCCCAACGTGGGTGGATCATGAGGTCAAGAGATTGAGATCATCCTGGCCAACATGGTGAAACCCCATCTCTACCAAAAATACAAAAATTAGCTGGGCGTGGTGTTGCAGGCCTGTAGTCCCAGGTACTAGGGAGGCTGAGGCAAGAGAGTCGCTTGAATCCGGGAGGGAGAGTTTGCAGTGAGCCAAGATTGCACCACTGCACTCCAACCTGGCAACAGAGCGAGACTCTGTCTCAAGAAAAAAAAAAAAAAAGGTCAGATTCTTTGGCTAGTCCTGTAAATTTTTTTTAACCAAATTGGGGGGGAGAAAAGAAGTCTGTGTTCTCAGAGGTGTTAATCACAGAATTAGCTATAATAACTAAAAAAACCCCTGACATATCACTCGTATGTCCAATAATGAAAGAGTAGTCAAGTAAATTAACATTATGATGTCTATGTGGACAATAGAAAATATTGTCAATATAAAATGAAAAAAGCATAATAGCAGTTGTATTTATACTACATTTGCAACTGGATGAACATAATTATAAATTTGAACACAAACAGGAAGAAGCAGTATGGCAAGATGAAAAGAATTGCTTTAAACTTTATGTGTGTTTTTATTTTTCCAATAATGCATTCTTTGTGATTTTAAAAAGTTAGTGTGTCAGTGTTGCATATTTTTTGTAACATCACTGTTTGTATTTTTCTCTTTTTAGTATGGACCTGTATTTAGTTTTACCATGGTAGGCAAGACATTTACTTACCTTCTGGGGAGTGATGCTGCTGCACTGCTTTTTAATAGTAAGAATGAAGACCTGAATGCAGAAGATGTCTACAGTCGCCTGACAACACCTGTGTTTGGGAAGGGAGTTGCATACGATGTGCCTAATCCAGTAGGTGACACTGTTACCATGAATAAAGACAAATCTGTATTTCAGTAGTTATAGCTAATAGTAAGACATTATACATTTAAAATGTTGAGACAGCCGGGCATGGTGGCTCATGTCTGTAATCCCAGCACTTTGGGAGTCCAAGTTGGGTGGATCACTTGAGGCCAAGAATTCAAGACCAGTCTGGCCAACATGGTGAAACCCCATCTCTATTAAAAGAACAAAAATTAGCTGGGGGTGGTGGTGCACACTTGTAATCCCAGCTACTTGGGAGGGTGAGGCATGAGAATTGCTTGAATCCGGGAGGTAGAGGTTGCAGTGAGCCAAGATCACACCATTGCATTTTAGCCTAGGCAACAGAGTGAGACTCTGTCTCAAAAACAAAGAAATAAACAAAACCACACACACACTCAAACATACACACACACACACACACACACACACACACACCCCAACCAAACAAAAATAATATAATAAAATGTAGCAACAGTTTATTCTTTGCCTCAAAAGTGTGAAGAATCATGAGAAGAAAGGCCATGGATAACTGATAAGTAAGGGGTATTTTGTTTTATAGTTGCTGGCATGGGGTAAATAATATTAAATGGTTTCCTGTACAAATAATGGAATCAATAACTTAGCTTATTGAGATTTAATTTGAAAGGATTATAAGACAATCCTGTTATTTCTTCAAAAGGACTTCCTACCCATTCCTGCCTGAAATTCTAACATAAGAGCTATTTAGGCATTGCCAACTTTAAAAGTCCTCTTTTAATGCAACTACTTCAGGTGTGGGTCCATCTATGTGTATGTTTTACTCTCAAAAGCCAAATATGAAATTGTTTTAAGTTGATATAGAACACAAATCAGACAATTGGCCCCAATGCTTGGTGTAGGCTCTGGCTGTGAATGTAACGCACATTAGTCAGTACCTTAGTATAGCAGTTAACATTAAATGTTGTTTCTAGTGATGGGGATGAGGGAATGAATGGCTCTCCTGAAGGCCAATAAAAAGGGCCCTGGAAAATCCCTCTGCTCAGGTATATCTATTCATTTAGACTCTATTCATTTAGAGTCAGATATATCTATTCATTTAGACTCTTAAAATATAAATGCCCAAAGAGTTAAAACCATTAGTTGTGTTTGTGTTACATAGTTATAATAACCAAATGGATTTTATGATGAAACAAAAATGAGTTTTAATGCTGTATGCCCTTTTTGAATTTTTTTTGAAGGTTTTCTTGGAGCAGAAGAAAATGTTAAAAAGTGGCCTTAACATAGCCCACTTTAAACAGCATGTTTCTATAATTGAAAAAGAAACAAAGGAATACTTTGAGAGTTGGGGAGAAAGTGGAGAAAAAAGTAAGCAAAATGTTTGTCCTAGCATTTCTACTTCTCTGAATAGAAAAGTAGAGTATATATGTGTGTAGTGAATAGAAAACAAATTACAGTATATGTAAAACTACCTTGGATTTATGGGAGGGATATGTAATAATTCCCCTGAAGTTGTAACTGAGAATCCAGTCTTTATTCTGGACTGCAGTTAAGTATTACCTTTCAGAAGCAATTGCTGTGCCTATAGTAGGAAGTAACATCTGCCCACTGGGCAGCAAGACCCAGGGCCGTGGGTCACCACATTCTGGGTCTGGCCTTTGGCCTCTATAAAAGGTCCAGAATCTTTGTTTTGGGAATACTTACGTTGATATGATGTATTTTCTCACCATACAAGGAACTGATGTGTAAATTAGAACGCCAATGTAATAATGCATGTGGGACATATAATTACAGAACCAAGAAATCCAGAATATTTACTGTTCTTTTTATTGGCAAATAGAATTAGAAAGCCAGATGATCATTGGTATTATATTTAGTGAGTGTGGAATTAACAGAAAATTAATTGGATAATTTTTATTATTTGAATGTCATCAAATTATGCTTGCCTGGTGCATTTGTCTTGTGTTAGGATATGCTAATTGATGATTATATATTTTTTTAAATATATGGACAGTAATTCCATTTTAGTACTGATCTTCCTGCTTTTAACCTGGGAAATAATCTGATCTTTGGCTACCATTCCTTGAGAAGTACCCTATTGTCATGTGCACTATAAATAACCTTTTTGCTGCTTTTGTTACATGTGACCTGGAAATCGAACAACCACATTTATTCTTTTCATGAAGTGCTCATGAATGAAGTTTTGAGATGTGTTTCTGGCATCTGTTTTGACTGTTCAGAGGGACAGGCTACTTCCCATAGTTTGGTTTATTGCCTCTCTTTCTTCAGTGTTGTGCATAGTCACATGTCTATCTATAGACTTTTTTTGGTGATATAAATAGGATCTTATTTGTTCTTGAGTTCTGTGTTTATTTACAATTTTATTTTGCTTTTTGGAACTAGTAATGATAGTAATCTTTTTTTCTCCCTAGATGTGTTTGAAGCTCTTTCTGAGCTCATAATTTTAACAGCTAGCCATTGTTTGCATGGAAAGGAAATCAGAAGTCAACTCAGTGAAAAGGTGGCACAGCTATATGCGGATTTGGATGGAGGTTTCAGCCATGCAGCCTGGCTGTTACCAGGGTGGCTGCCTTTGCCTAGTTTCAGGTATGGATAAAGGAGATATTACCCTTGGTTATTTAACTTTGTATAATTATTGTAGTGCTGGTATGTTTTGTCTTAACAAAGATAAAAATTAAACAAGTAAAACGTACAAAATGGGTAAGACTATAAACCCCCATTCTTCTATAAAAATTCAAGACAGGTTTTCTTTATATAGTGAGTTGAGCTTGTTTTGTTAGACCCTTCACATTCTGGCCTAGTCTTTCTTTGTTTTACTTATACTAACTAATTTAACCAGATTACTCCATTCACTTTCTTAAACAGGCCTATGTTTTCCTGGCTCTGCTGTATTCATACTGTTAAGCTTTAACATCTTCCCTTTTGTACATATGGTCTTGGTCAATCCTCAATAACAGACTAACAATCTTGTAAATGAAACAGGGTAGGAGGTTTTTTTTTTTTTTGAGACAGAGTTTCGCTCTTGTTACCCAGGCTGGAGTGCAATGGCGCGATCTCGGCTCACCGCAACCTCCGCCTCCTGGGTTCAGGCAATTCTCCTGCCTCAGCCTCCTGAGTAGCTGGGATTACAGGCACGCACCACCATGCCCAGCTAATTTTTTGTATTTTTAGTAGAGACGGAGTTTCACCATGTTGACCAGGATGGTCTCGATCTGTTGACCTCGTGATCCACCCGCCTCGGCCTCCCAAAGTGCTGGGATTACAGGCTTGAGCCACCATGCCCGGCCCAGGGTAGGAGTTTTTATTAGAAGGCTTGATTTAAGAGGGGGCTTGGGAGTCAGATGGCTTAGTTTTAAATTCCAGCTCCAATGTTTGTTTTCTATGTGATCTTATGCTATAAATTGATGTTAATAGTATGTACCTCACAGGAAGATACAAGTGGGTAATTCATGTAAAACACTTAACATGGTTCCTGCTACATAGTGAACATAGTATTTAAAGGTAAAGTTTAGGAGTTGACCTAAACTTGTTTTCTGAATCTGCTCATATTTTTGCCACTTACAAAAAACTGTTGTATTAGAAAGTGAAAAGTATCAACCTCTTTAAGACTTGATTTGGTATTAAAATTGGAATTTCATGTTAATTTAAAAGATTATTCTACTTTCTGTTGAACTGGAAAATTTCTAAAGGAATTTCTTGCTTGTTTTAGGCCTATAGTTTGAATACAGGTAATGTGTTAAGAATCTGGGACATATATGTTAACTAAAGCATAGTTCTTGCCCTTAGGGACTATGAATATTTTTAACAATGTAAGAGTTTAATGACTTCCAATATTTTCCTGTTTCTGATATTTTTCTCAATTATTTTAGTCATTAGAGTTAGTTAAGTTAGTTAAATAAGGTGCTTTATCCTAGGTCCTGGTTTTCAAAATGAATTTGATCCTAGAAAGTGTTTCTTTATTTAAAAAAATCATCTTTATCTTTTAATTACAGACGCAGGGACAGAGCTCATCGGGAAATAAAGAATATTTTCTATAAGGTAATCCAGAAACGCAGGCAGTCTGAAGGAAAAATTGATGACATTCTCCAAACTTTACTAGATTCGACCTACAAGTAAGAGCTATTCAGATAACATATTAAGCTGAAGCAGGAAATGATAAATTAAAACACAAATAATATTTCCAGTTAAAAAACAGTGATGCTGGCAAAATAAGTGCTATAATCTTTGGACTTTTTAAACTGTTGAAACATAAACTATTGACATCCTTTGTCTTGCTGTAATCCCAGTGACTGGGTATGGTGAACGTTTGCTAATGAACTGTAATGGAGTCTTGTAATCAAAATTGTTTTCTACTGGTTTGTCTCTTCCCTAAGAGAAAAAAAAAAAATTCTGACTTGTGATAGACAAGTATAAGAGATTATTATACTTGAAAAATATATTCATTATGACACTTTATTTAAAGGTTGAGGCGTAAAATGTATCTGCCAAAATGTTAAATTTGTGTGTTTGGTTCATTCCTTAGGGATGGGCGTCCTTTAACCGATGATGAAGTAGCAGGGATGCTTATTGGACTGCTCTTGGCAGGGCAGCATACATCCTCAACTACTAGTGCTTGGATGGGCTTCTTTTTGGCCAGAGACAAAACACTTCAAGAAAAATGTTATTTAGAACAGAAAACAGTCTGTGGAGAGGATCTGCCTCCTTTAACTTATGACCAGGTTTGTCGGAGTTTTTCAGTTTCATTGCTGCCTTCTGACTTTGAGTATCTGTGGCTAATTTTTAAAAGGGACAATTTGAGATTTTCTGTATACTGTAGCTTCAACTGATCAGCTTCTTTATTTTTAGCAAATTCTCCATAACCTTACCCAAAATATGTTAATGTTATTGCTTCTAATTAAGTTTTATCAGATATGTTTTGGGTTGATGCCTTAGAGATCCTTGGAGATGTTTCTTTAGTACTTATTTCCTCTGGTTCGAAGTCTGGCTTCTGTAGATAGAGGATATTATGTGCATGTTATTTGTCTTACGAAGTGTAGAAACCTCTCAATTACTTAGAATTCTACATGTCTAGAGTGGCCCGTGCATAAGCAGAGACTTCTAAAAGTAGTAGTAGTAATAATGAGGACTAGACATTTACAAACACTACACGCAGCTTTCTGGGTGGAAAGGAAGAGAGGAGAACCCACTGCCCAACCTGACATTCAATTTTGGAAGCAAACCTAGGTTGTATCCTCTTCCTGTTATCTTTTGTGTTTTTTGGTCCTATATTAATATGGTGTATTACACTGATTTTTTAGATGTAAATTATATTCCTGGGATAAATCTTACTTTGTCATGGTGCATAGTTCTCTTTATATGTTATTGCATTCAGTTTGCTGGTGTTTTGTTGAGGATTTTTGCATCTATATTCGTTAAGAGATCTTGATCTCTTTCATTGTCATGTCTTTGACTGGTTTTGATATCAGGATCATACTGGTCTCATAGAATGAATTTTGAAGTGTTCTTTTTTTCTTCTTTTTTTTTGAAGAGTTTGTGGATGACTGGTGTTAATCCTTTTTTATATATTTGCTAATATTCAACAGTGAAATCATCTACGTCTGTGCTTTTCTTTGTGGGAAGACTTTGCTTACCAATTCAATTTATTTGTTACAAGTTTCTCATTCTATTTCTTTTTATGTCAGTTTCAGTAGTTTATATCTCTCTCTTTGTTGTTTTTTCCAAAAACTCCAGAGAATATACCAAGTAAAAGTAGTTTATATCTCTCTAGGAATTTGTCCATTTCATCTAGATTACCTAATTTGTTGGCAAATTAGGCAATTGTTCTTAGTATTCTCACAATCCTTTTTTATTTCTGTAAGCTCAGTAGTGATGTCTCAACGCTCATTCTTGTTTTTGGTAACTTTAAAAATAACAGCTTAATTGATATATTTACAAACCATAAATCCATCCATTTAAAATGTACATTTTGTGGTTTTTAGCATATTCAGAGTTGGGAAACCATCATCATAATTTAATTTTAGAACTTTTACATCACTCCTAAAAGAGAGCCAGTACCCATTAGCAATCATGCTTCATTCTTCCTGACCCCTGCCCCTGGAAACCATTAATCTCCTTTTTGCCTATATGAGTTTGTCTATTCTGGATATTTTATATAAATGGGATCATATAATATGCAGTCTTTTGTGACTAGCTTGTTTCACTTGGCATGTTATCAGGGTTCATCTGTGTTGTAGCATGTATCAGTACTTCAGTCATTGTTATTACTAATAATCCATTATATGGATATACCACATTTTGTTTATCTGTTCATCAGTTGATGGACATTTGGATTGTTTCCACCTTTTCAACTATTATGAATAATGCTGCTCTAAACATTTGTATACTGATTTTATGTGGACATGTGTTTTCAATTTTGGGGGGTCATACCTAGGAGGAGAATTGCTGGGTCATATGGTAACTTTGAAGAACTGCCAGACTGTTTTTAAAAGTGGCTGCACCACTTTCAAATCTCACTAAATAGTATATGTTGGTCCTGACTTCGATTTTTTTTTTTTGAGACGGAGTCTCGCTGCCCAGGCTCGAGTGCAATGGCATGATCTCGACTCACTGCAACTTCTACTTCCCGGGTTCAAGCAATTCTTTTGTCTCACCCTTCCAAGTAGCTGGGACTACAGGCGCATGTCACCACACCTGGCTAATTTTTGTATTTTTAGTAGAGATGAGGTTTCACCACGTTGGCCAGGCTTGTCTCGAACTCCTGACCTCGAGTGATCTGCCTGCCTTGGGCTTCCCAAGTGCTGGGATTACAGGTGTGAGCCACTGTGCCCAGTCAGTATCTTGTTTTGATTTTGTATTTTCCTGCTGACTAATGATATAGAGTGTCTTATGATGTGCTCTTTGGCTTTGGTATATCTTTAGAGAAATGTCTGCTCACATCCTGTTGCCTTTTTGACAGAGTCTCGCCCTGTCACCCAGGTTGCAGTGCAGTGGTGTAATCTTGGCTCACTGCAACCTCCATCCTCTGGGTTCAAGTCATTCTGCTGGCTTAGCCTGAGTAGCTGGGATTACAGGCGCATGCCACCACGCCCAGCTAATTTTTGTGTTTTTAGTAGAGACGGGGTTTCACCATATTGGTCAGGCTGGTCTTGAACTCCTCACCTTGTGATCTGCCCCCCCTCAGCCTCCTAAAGTGCTGGGATTACAGGCTTGAGCCACTGCACCGAGCCTTGTTCCCATTTTTAAAATGAGTTGTCTTTTTATTATTGAGTTGTAAGCGTTCATGTATTTTTTTTTTAATGTGCTTTTGGTCTCAGAGCAACCAATGCCCTATCAAAGTATATGAAGAGTTATTTCTGTGTTTTTAGTGTTTTAGTTTCATATCTTACATTTAGGTCTTTGATCCATTTTGAATTAATTTATGTATATGGTGTGAGGTCATCATTATTTTGCATGTGGTTATTCAGTTGTCCCACACTGTTTGTTGAAAAGACAATTTTTTCTGCATTGAATTGTCTTTGTAAAAAAATCTATTGGCCGGGCGCGGTGGCTCAAGCCTGTAATCCCAGCACTTTGGGAGGCCAAGGCGGGTGGATCACAAGGTCAAGAGATCGAGACCATCCCGGTCAACATGGTGAAACCCCGTCTCTACTAAAAATACAAAAATTAGCTGGGCATGGCGGCGCACGCCTGTAGTCCCAGCTATTCGGGAGGCTGGGGCAGGAGAATTGCTTGAACCCAGGAGACGGAGGTTGTGGTGAGCCGAGATCGCGCCATTGCACTCCAGCCTGGGTAACAAGAGCGAAACTCTGTCTCAAAAAAAAAAAAAAAAAATCTATTATAGCCAGGCGCAGTGGCACATACTGGTTTTCTCAGCTACTTGGGAGGCTGAGATGGGAAGGTAGCTTTAGCCCAGGTCTTGGAGTCCAGCTTGGGGAACATAGCAAGACCCTGTCTCTCAAAAAGTAAATAAATTTAAAAAATCCACTTGACCATAAATTTGAGGCTTTATTTCTGGACTCAATTCTATTCCATTGATATATTTAGTCTGATGCCATTATAGTAGTTTTGTAATAAGTTTTGAATTCGGGAGTGTGAGTCCTCTGACTTTGTCCTTTTCAAGGGTGTTTAGCTAGTCCTATTCCCTTTAATTTCCATATAAATTTTGGGGTCAGTTTGTTAATTTCTGCAAAGAAGCTCTCTGAGATGTTTTTTTTTTTTTTTTTTTTGAGACAGAGTTTCGCTCTTGTTACCCAGGCTGGAGTGCAATGGCGCGATCTCGGCTCACCGCAACCTCCGCCTCCTGGGTTCAGGCAATTCTCCTGCCTCAGCCTCCTGAGTAGCTGGGATTACAGGCACGCACCACCATGCCCAGCTAATTTTTTGTATTTTTAGTAGAGACGGGGTTTCACCATGTTGACGAGGATGGTCTCGATCTGTTGACCTCGTGATCCACCCGCCTTGGCCTCCCAAAGTGCTGGGATTACAGGCTTGAGCCACCGCGCCCGGCCTCGTTAAATGTATTTTTAAGTGTCTTATTATTTTATTTATATGATGTTATTCTTTCTTCTGCCAGTTCAAACCTGCTGTTGATCCCCTCAGGTGAATTTTTCATTTCAGTTTTTATACTTCTCAATTCCCAAATTTCTATTTGGTTCTCTTAAAAAAAAAAAAATCTATTGATAGTCTCTATTTGGTGAGGCCTTGTTTTATATTTTGACCCTTTAAGCATATTTTACCATATTTCTTTGACCCTATTTATGCTAGCTGATTTAAATTCTTTATCTAGTAACACCAGTGTCTGGGCTTCTTCATGGATAGTTTCTATTAAACTGCTTTCTTTTTCTGTGTACGAGCCATACTTTCCTATTTTGGTGTGATTTTTGTAATTTTTTGTTGAAAACTGTACATTTGAAATAATGTGGCAACTGTGGAAATCAGATGCCCTCCTCCCTGGGTTTAT